AAAGGGAGGGGAAGCAGGAGAGAAGACTGAGGCTCTGAGATATAATTCAGAGGGCCTATCCCTTCTGCTCAAACCCCCCTCCAATTGTTCCCATAACCAGTGGGACAAGGAACAGACCCTCAGCCTCTGATTCACATCTTGAGCTCCTACAGACCGATCTCTCCCTCTTTCCCTAACAATCCATACATGCCCTGGACACACTCATGTCCACAACTTCCCTACCACTGGCCTTTCCGCTTCTAGGCTTTGCTCAACATACCGGCCCCTCCATCTGGCCACCGTCTCGGACAGCATGGGCTTCAAGAACCTCCGTATTTTGACCTATAAAATCTACATCTTTGTCTTAGGATCTAAAAAATTAGGGGATATCTTCATTCTTGGGAGAGCCTTAATTATTTTAATCACAGTGAGTTGGAAATTTTAGGACACCAAAAGACCGAGTGGTCAAAATGGCTGTGCTGTTGCCTTTATTCTCCATCACAGGTGACGATCAGGCATGTCCAGCTGTCACACCGGCGCCATTGCTTTGTTTAAAGGTGGGATTCGTCAGCTGTCTGGCTGGCTCTGAGCCCCGAGCTGACTTTGCATCTTGGAGACGGGCAGTAGGCGACAGGGCTTGCTCCTAGCGGATGAGGGTCTCACCAGAGAGGTGTGTTCTGACTCACATTAGTGTCTTTCCTCAGACATCGGAGTTCCTCAGGGACCACCAGCCATACTCTTTACCTCTCCAGAGATCCCAAGTGACAAGTTTCTCTCTGTTCCACCGAGACATATTAGGCAAGCCAATACATGGAAGACTTCCCACAGACAATCTGTAGACGTGACATGCTTTTTCCATTGGTGCCATGGGGAAGGGGCGCACAGAGAGTGGGGCCCAGTTTCAGCCTCTCAATGCCCTCACATCTTCTGAGATGGGCAAACCATTACATGAAGGACCAGAAACCTTTCCCAGAAATCTTTTTGACAGCTTGTATAGACTTCTTGTGGTGTCTTGAGCAGCTTGGCTTGGCTCATTTCCTCTTTTGAGCCTTCGTTATTGCTGTCACCAATTCTTGGAAGACCTTGTTGGACCTCCCTGGCAAATACAGTCTAGCCATCCTTCAAGGCCTGACACGGCCCTCACCTCCACCCTGAAGCCTTCCTGGTTACCAAGTTCTTGGAGCTTCTGGAGAATTCCAGCTCTCTGTGGTGCCTCTCTTTTTGATCATCCCAGTAATTAATAAGACTTGGAAAATTATTCCAGCTCTGGCCCCATGCTCATCAAATTTAGAAAACCTGTAAATTCCCACTGGAGCAGTTATATTAAGCAGACGTATGTTTCCAGACTCCACCTCCCATCAGGGTGACCTTGGCAATGTACTTAATCTCTCTGAACTTCAGTTTTCCTCATCTGTCAAATGGGTGAGGGCATTGCTGGGATTAAATGAAATAAAGTACTTAGCTATGAGTTAGTTAAAGATATAGCAGCCTGCTATATTCTGGTCAGGCCCCTATTGGGTCCTGCTCTGAGGATGGTCTCGTGGATGTGGTTCTATAGTTGGGAAGGGAAGACAGATAAAACTGGAGGCGTCCCTGACCTTCTTGTGGAGCAGGAAGTTGCTTTCCTTTTTGTGTCACTGTTATGTCACTTTCTGCCATCACAGAGATACTCAGTGAGCCAAGATTCCATTCCTGGCAGGACTGACATTGGATGTGTGCAGCAGCGCCCTCTGCAGCAGGAGTTAAGGCTTGGCACAGCCCTCCTTCCTTCCCACTTGCACTATACTGTGACAGTGTGTGCCTTCAGTGGGATGTGCCTCTGTACTGTCTCCACTTTATACATGAGAAAACTGAGGCTTAGAGGCCTATGGTCACCTATCCAAGGCCCACAGGTGTCCCATAGGTAGATGGTGACACTCTAACTCTTGACACCCTACCTCGTATGATTCCATTACCATCATATGTTAGTGAGCTGAGGCTGCTTAGTGCCCTGGTCCAGGGTAGAGCAGCCTCCAGCTTGCGGGGAAGATGGTCTCAACAGTCCTGATGAATACAGCTTGAGCCAGGGGCCTAAGATCTCTGCTGATACTCTTGGAAAAATTCTTTGAGCTCAAGCCCTGAGCCGAGTCTTTGGGGACAGGTTTCTCAGGCTCTGTGGACTGAGAAGTGGAGAACGCATGGCACTGGCAGTGGTCACAGCTGGTGGTCAGGAGCATCAGGCAGCCTTCAGGAGCAGTGAGGTAGCCCTGCCAGGGGTGCAGAGAGAGACAGAGGTCTACCATTTTCAAAGCCATGACAAGGGATTTTGTGCTGCAATAAACTCCATAGCATTTTGCAGTGAGAATAAACTATAAAGAGGGCTCTCCAATTCTGCTCTGTTTGCTGCCAAGATGCTGCCCTGTCCAGGCAGCAGTTTGTTCTTGAGCCCCTACTATGTGCAATGACATTATGATGAATGGCAGAGTAAGCACAGGGGAGGGGCACCTGTCCTCCTACACAGGAAGGTCCAGAAGGCTACTTATTAGGTGGAGGTGACATCTAGACAGTGGACTTGGGATGAGTGGGTAGGAGAGAGCCACAGAAGAAGGGTGAGGGCTTTCCAGGCAGAGGAGAGGCCTGGGGGTGGGGGGAGTGCTGGGGAGTGCTGGAGATGAGAGAGAAGGTGACAGGTTTCATGAAACAGGTTTCATAAAAGCAGGGCAGTCTGGTTGATGCTGCAACACAAGGAGAAAGGGTCAGAGGGGAGCCAGAGAGCTGTCAGGGCCAGTCTGAGGTGAGAACTGCTGTGGGTCGGGCTTCTGCTGCCAACCTGAGCAGTGATGAGGACCTTTGTCAGCAGGGACGGGAGAGCAGAGAGTTCACGAGGGGGAGGGGCAGGTCTGAAAGGAGCCATGCCACCAGAGACTGGCTTTCTGGAGAAGGTGCTGGGCAAAGGGCATGATGGGATGAAGAGGTGGTCAAACACCACACATGTGTCGTGTGAGAAAAAGGGCATCTGGGAGTGTGGGCCTAGATCACATGGGGGAACTGGGCTCAGAGTGAGAGCCCAGGCAAGTGCCAGGTGCTGGGTAGAGCAGGCTGGCGAGATGGAGGGAGACCCAGCTCAGTCCTCAGGCACAGGTCACCATTCTGGGTGAGTGGGGCCATGGAGCTCCACAGGAGCCAGTGACCCAAGGCACTCTGTCACACTCATGCTCATTACTAGAAATTTAGAAATGCAAAATCTATGCAAAGAAGAAAATGAAACTACACCAATCCCACCATCTAGAGATAATCATTTTATTTAACATTTTCTTCTGTTACAACATACATAATTACTACAACATATAAAATAAATGTGTGTATGTTTGTAAATGTGTACATATATGTGTATATATACATATGTGTGTATACTTATTAAAAAATGAAGTTGCAATCACACTATATACAGTTTGGTATCATGATTTTTTCCCACCCAACACATGTAATAAATAGTTTACAAAAAACTCTTCAAACCCAATTTAAAAGGCTGCCTCAACACCCATTATATCAACATGCTGTTATTAGTTTTTTCTATTTGTTTGTTTTTGGACTTTTGTTTTGCATTTTCCACTTTTATAAATGTGATGATAAACATCTGTGTGTTTGTACCTTTTACCACATATCTGATTATTTCTTTAGAGTAGATCCTGGGAAGTGGACTTACTGGCTCAAGGTTGTGACTATTTTACGGCTTGATATGTATAAATGGCAAGTTACTGTCCGGAATGACTGTGCCTATTTACAGTCTCACTAGCTGTATATGTCAGCATCCCCATATACCGTTGCAAGCATTGAATACTGTTGTTACATAAACCTTTGCCAAAATATAACTGTTACATGGTAGCTCTTTCAAATTTTTATTTTTATTTTTACTGAAACCGAACAATATTTTTTTAACCTAAACTTCTGTGCGTGTGCACACGTGCGCACGTGGGGTGATTTTTTTGCATTTGTATTCTTAGTTCCTATGTCCTACCAGAATGTCACAAACCCTTAAATATTAACTTGAAAAAAGATTACTCTTCCAAATTACTTCGGACCGCGTTAAGCTCTTGGAGGGCCAGGTCACGGTCTCCCTCATTCCTGAGCCCCCGCCCCTGCCCCACACATGGTGCCTTCTATGGGTGCTGCACACAGGAGGGGCTTAATTAATGTTTGAATCAAATTGGACAGAATGAATGCTCCCAGCCAGCCAAGACTTCTCCCTTTAGCCTGGAGGTATAACAGCCTTCCGCAGATTTGGAGCGTTTGCTCTTCTGCGTCTTTCTCTCAGGCCTTCAGGGAGTGGAGGAGTCGGAGGTTAAATGAGGACAAGCGGCTCTAAAAGGCACCTTCCCCCGTGGCTGACAGAACCATCTGGAGCACGAATTTGGGGAGAGCTTGGATCTGACAGCGCTGATCAGCCCCATGAAGGCGCCCCTCACCCCACCCCAATCAGGAGCCATAAGCCGTGACTTTTCTGTTAAACACCGTTTCCCTTCTCAACCTTTCCATATGTCTCTCCCCGGCTGGCCCACCAGCCATCCCCTGCCTCCGTATTTCTGTCCATGACGCCTTCTTCGACGGTCTCTGTTTTTCCGTCCCGAGGTCACTCCGGCCCCTCTTCCTGCGTGGAGCCATGTGCACGTGCGGGCAGCATTATGTTCCAAATTCCAGGTAGTTTGCATTTCGGAGTCTTTATCATCTATGGCATTCTTGGCCTTTTCCTGTGGATGGAGATGATGAAAATCAATTTGTCTCTCACCACTACTTCCAAAATATCTCTGGCCATGCCAAGAGAGGTATCCAGTGGCACATGAAAGCCCATGGAGAGATTACCTCTTTAGCTTCGCCAAGTGTTTATTGCAGCTATTGAAGTGCCCCTTGCATATCTCTCGATCCGCAGCTCTCTCTCTGATGCAAACAAGGAGTCCTCACACCTAAGGCATGCTCCAGAGTTTGTTCCCTGGCAGTCGCTTGCTTCTGTACAGGATCCTGCATTTTTACGTCCACCAACTCACGTCGTCCTCGCCGTAGCCCGAGGCTTGGCTGGTGCCTTTATGCCCGTTTTCCTGACGAAGAAACAGAGGGTCAAGAAATCGATTCACACAGTTTGCCCAGTGAGCCAACGCTGGCTCCTAGATGGGCCCAGTCCTGGCACCAAGCCTAACGCACTTGCTATTTTGCGTGCTCTAGTGAAAAGGAGCACAGATGTCTTTTTCAGGAGCAGGCTGGGGGCGAGGTGGGCCACATGTGTCTTTCTCAGTGACACATGTCCCGTGGGGGAGAGCCCTCACACCTGGGTGGTGGGAGGTTGTTTAATGAAGTGGTGAAGAGGGCCACAGAAAATGGCTTTGGAATGTCTGAACCAAAACACAGGTGAAGTCAAGATCAGCCTTTGGATAATTGCCATTGACCCCTGGGGAATGTCCGGAGGGGACTGGGGCCCATCTGCCCTAAGCAGGACAGGCCCAGTGGCCCGGATCCCTGGGGGCACAGGGAGCCAGTTTTTTCGTGTCCGTGCAGACTCCAGCCCTGCCTGTTCCTGGGGCAGAGCCTCTAATAGGAGCCTCGGGTATTTTTAGTCTCACGTGTGCAGGCACAGGACTCGGCAAGCCCAACGGGAACAGCTAATAAGCCACGGTCCGTACAAAGTTGGGGAGTATGAGATGAGGGGGAGGGCAGGGAGCCTGGTGGAAACTTTTGTACATGCCCCGTTCGCAGAGAACTCTCTTTCCATAATTCACAGAGAAAGATTGAGGTCAGGGTGATGAGCACAGCCCCAGTTAGAGAAGCCTGAAAGTGGGGCGTGTTCACCTCTTGTGGCCTGCCAGTCCCTGCTCACAGCCCTCTCTGCCCTCCGGGAGAGGAGGTAAAGCAGGAGAGATTTTAACTTAGGGGTTTGGATACCAAGGCTTCTGGGGTGGGGGGGTCTTCAAAAGGACCAGATTCAAAGCCAAAGAGCGATGTGATCCTCACAGCCTTGGGAGGTAGTGGAGAGGTATGAACGTTTATCCTGATTTCACAGGTGAGGCAATGGAGGTTCAGAGAGGTGCAGGCACTTGTGCCAAGTCACACAGGTAGTGGCAAAGCTGGATTCAAACTTAGTGTCCCAGATCAAGGTTGACCATTGTTTCCCAAGACTTTTCACTTTCTCCCAAATGATGGTCAGTCGTGCCCAAGACCCATTATCCATTTTATTTAACCACAAACATTTTTTTTTCTATGACAATTCAGTGTTAGGTCTCTGTCATTGGAACAAGGCAGTGAGGATGATACAGTTGCTCATCTCAAGAGCTTTGGACTTAATGAGGGCCACACAGAAGAGACTCCCAGATGAACCTTGGCGTGGTCACTGTGCAAGCTTGTCCTGTGGGAATGGCAGACTGGGAAGTGAGATGAGCAGGTTTCCAGACTTTGATGTTGAACATAAGGACAGTCAGAACTGTTAAAGGCAGGTCATTCCCCTTCTGGATAGTATCTTCCGAGGGTGAGACGGGGAAATGGCCAGGGAGGGGCCTGTGTGCCCTCAGCACTTTCTCCGGTCCTATAGCTCTGAGCATTGTGATGCTTGGAGCCTGGGGCAGGGCTCACTAAGTGAGGGCTTGGCAAAGCTGGAATGAAGATAGCACCCAACTCCTGCTGCTGTCAGCCACTCTCTTCCTCCCCTGCCACATCTTTATGGTTCGAGAGCAGAAGAAGACAGGATGAAAATATCAATTTGAGATGAAAGCATTGAAGTGAGTTCCTTGCACCTCCCTGCCTCAACCCAAAGCCACATGGCATGTGCCTCTGTCCACCTGTTCATCCATCCACTAATCCACCCCTCACTTACTCTTTCTATCTACCCATCCACCCCACCTCTCCACACTCTCATCCATTCACCTCACTTAGCCATTTGTTCACTCATCCCTCCTCTACCTGACATCACTCCTCAATCCATCTACCACCCCCACTCATCTACCTCTTCCGTCTAAACATGTCCCATCCACCTACCCACTCATTCATCTATTCATCCATTCATCTCCCATCCCCAGCAGTTACCAATTCTTTCATCCCATCTGGAACCAGACCCTGTGTTCCAGGCCTTCTGTCTGGTGTTGTGGAGATGAATGAGCCTCTCTCTTGAAGTCAACCTAGAAAAATACACAGATCCACTTATGAAGGAAACAGTAGACTCCAAGAAGGTCCTGAGCAGAGAGACAGAAGTAATACAGCTGAAGGAGGAGAGAAGGGTGAAGGAGGATCAGATACTAAAACTCTGCTTTTAGGAAAGATAAAATAGAGAGAAGAAGGAAGGAAGGAAAGAAGGAAGGAAGGAAGGAAGGAAGGAAGGAAGGAAGGAAGGAAGG